TGTTTGGTATCTGCAGGTCACAGGAAACTTTTTTTTTTTTTTTTCTCGCGCTGCAAATGTGTTAGAGAGGTGTATGTTTGAAGGTAAGGGTTTTACTTCACTGAAACTTTGTAAACTCGTAGATGCTGTCCGTTGAATAAAGAAAAATGGGTTGAGGTCCTTACTAGCAACTCTGTTTTTTTCTTCTGAGGCACGTGTGTGATTTGGATACATCGCCAACAAGAGCAGCCACGGTCTATAGGCAGGGCCACGTCCTCTTACTGTTTGCTGAGCACCCCTCTCATAGGAATTCTGTCTTTTGTAATGTAACAATAGGGAATGTTTGGCCTCTAGGTTGACTGATCTATCAGCTATAACAGCCTTGAAAACTTACACCTTCTGTAGAGCACAAGGGCTTCTATTTTATTATTGTCCCTTCAGTTTGGGGAGTTGATTAGACACAAGGATGAGGGGTCTGACAGTTGTTTCAAAAAAAAAAAAAAGTAGCTGAATGCAGGAAAGAAAACAACAAAACAACAGCTGTAAGGTGCATGCAACTGTATTCGTGTTTGGATCAGATGTGAATCTTTTAATTGGAGAAGGTAATGTTTACCTAGGTTTGCATTGCAGAGTGATCATAGATGACATGAATTTAATATTTTTCAAATGAAACCAGATGGAAGGATTTACTTCACTAATGGGTTTTTCCACCACAGGCCTAGATCAGAATTACGAAGTATGTAGTAAGAATACTTGGTACTCAATTCCAGCTCTTGCTATGTACTACCAGACCATGTTGCTCTGCAGTGTGCTGCTCTGGAATTCTTCAGTCAGACCTCCAAGCTTCAAGGCAACATGGTGATGAATTTCACAAAAGGTTAGAAATGCAAGCTTTTAGTAAGTGAGAATATCTACATTTAGTAAGGACAAAATATTCCTTCTAATACCACATGCTGATTAACATTTTTGGCTTGTTGTCAGTATCATCAACTCATGTTTTTTAATACTGCCAGCTTGTGATGTTTATTCTTTTAAATGGAGTTCTGAACTTTTGTGATTGTATGAGGATATTAGCTCTCCATTAATAAAAGAGCATTTTTAGTTTAGTTTAAAACCACAAATGTGGCCCAAAGAGCTGTAAGGCCCTATAAAAAAAACACAACAGTATTTAAAATTTTTGCTTCTTTGTGTTTTGGCTTGTGCTGCTCTGCATTATGTTGGTTTTGCTGTTTTTCACTGTGTGCGCAGGATAACTTTCTGAAGTGCAAACTATCTGACTGTGACTATATAAAAGTCCTTGTGGGCATAAGTAGGGTATTTGCAATCTAACAAAAGATGGCTCATGCCAGAGCTCTTCAGCGTACAAAATTTATTTTTTCTCTCTGATAACCTGGTAAAGTGACTAAATTAATTGTCAATGAGTGTGTAAGTAATCTCCCTCTATTTGAGGAAGAGGCACAAAGCAGGAAATGTAGCTGACAAGTGCTCTTGTGCTAGATGCAGTCCTGCCCTAGAACTTTGTTGCTTGTAAGAACAAACTGTAGGAAGAGCTTGAATCTTTGATGTTCTGTATGTTTTGGTGGAGGAACAGAAGAAAAATTTGTTCACAGAACCCACATTAGCTTTTGGCATTGGAGAATCTGAGTAAGCAAGATGGTATCCAAGATCCACTAGGAGCTGTTGATATGGGGGAAGTAAGTTTGCAGATTTCTTTTTTTTAATTATAACTTGGAGCTTTTGTATAGAAGAAACATCTGTTTTCCACATTTTATTAGCTTTATAATAACTGTTGATTAGTTTTCCTTTATATGATTTTGACTCTAATAGAGGTGAAAAACTTAAATCAATTAAACTGAAGTAACAGTTCTGTAATCTGTAATACAAATTTTATGAGAAATACAAATGAGCATTGAGAGCACAGCTCTGGCAGCAAATAAGAGGGAGAAGTGAATGCAGAGATTACAAGGGAGTTTATGTTCGTGTTTAGCTGTATAAACTGCATATGCTTTGGTGGGCTGTTGCAGAGACAAATATTAAGAATGCATATTGAACCCAGGAAGAAAATCTAGTACCTCTTTTGATATTTGTAATAAAATGGCAAATGAAATTCAGGGTTGATACGTGCAAAGTTGCATATATTTTTAGAAGAAGTCACATGGCAGTACAGATGCATGGATAGGCTCTAAAATATCATCAGTACTCAGGAAAGGGAATGAGGATCCTTCTTTAAAATGTCATCTCAACCCAGACATCTGTCAACAAATTTTGAGTATTAAGAAGGAAAAAGAGGGAAAGATCTCATTTTTACATTGCTTAAATATAAGGTTTGCTCTTGTCTTACTTGCTGCATTTCTGGTTGCATCATTTCAGGAAGAGTATTAAAAAAAACAAAGAAAATACAGAGAAGGATGATGTGGTAATTGAAGAAAAGCAATTTCTTCCATACAAGCAGAGATAAGTAGTTACAGCTCTTCAGTCTGAAGAAAAGACAGCTGACTGGTATGAGGAGGAAATAGTCTAGATGTCTTTTGAATCAGAAAGAGATTAGGCAATAAGCATGTTTTTCTATACAGATGAACTCACAGTTATAATCCAGGAACTGTGTTTTCTGCATGTGAGTGTAGTTGAATTCTCACTTGTGCAGTAATGTTAGGGAAGTGAAAATGAGTACACCAGGAATTTGTACAGGGTCTTCAAAGACAGGGCCACTGTGGGTTGGTATTAAACGTGATGTTCAGATATGATGGTAGGAAATCCTGAAGTTGTGATTACTGGAACATAGGGATAGGTCCATGAGGTATGATTCCCTAGATATCCTGATGCTTTGCTGTGGACTAAAGACATCCTCCTCATCTTTCCTCCTCATTGAGGAGGAATCTAGAATCAGTTCTTGAACAGGAAATTGCAGTTAGGAAACTGAGATATTCTGAGTGATGTCCAGGAGTGCTGTCCACTGTAATCAGAATTTCATTGACTACACGGGAGGTGGGACTTTTCAATTCAGAGGTATTTATGAAGATAATAAATCTTTTTCAGGAGCACAGATTCCTTCTGCTTGGAAGTATATATAATAAAAGGCTATTGGCTTTCTGACATCTGTGTTTCAACAAATTTATAACTTTTTATGTAAGGCCCACAACACTGAGTGAACCTGAAACTGTATAGACAACCTGTGTAGAGGGATGATGCACTCTACAATGAGTGCTCTCTTTTCTCAGTACTTTCTTCTTGCCCAGAAACTTGCATAATTTCAGGTTTCAACAAGACTGGAGAAAAGGTCCAGAATTCTTGAGAAATGTCTATGCTGTTCTTGGAGCTATTAATTTTCTGCTGGCTAATCTGTATCTTACACTGCCTCAGCCACTGCAGTCCTGGAAACAGTCATGGAAAACTGTTCTACTGAGAATATTGCCTAAAAGAGAGGAGAGCATTGTTCTCTGGTGCATCCACTTGATTACTTTTTATGATGACAAGAGAGTTCTTGGATCTGGTCCTATTTCCTGTTCACATATTGCTTTTCCATCAACATCAGGTTTCTTCTAGTCTCTAAACTGAGATTTATTTTTCTAATGATTATGTACAAGAAGATTGGTATTTTAGAAATCTAATTATTCAGCATTGAAGGAGAATATTAAAATATTTTCTGTGCCTTTTTTCCCTGAGAACAGTATTAAAAAGAATTCAGGGAGTTTAAAATTAGAAATGTTACTAATGGAATTTGCTAGAGGGCTGTGACATCTTGTGCTGAAAGGGGAACCTTGGAATTACTAGCTGGAGTTCAGTAGGCAAGGTTATCAAACAGCAGTTCTGGTCAAAGTTCCTGCTACCTTTACTGTAGTGTTGTTGTGTGTGCTTTTGGGTATCCACATGTTCCTTACAACACAAAAGCACTGAGAATTTGTTTCAGGCTCCACACTTAAAGGTACCTTAAAACCTGCATATTTTATACACTTGTATTGCTAATTTTTGCAATTTTATACACTGAAAAAGATGCAGATAAAAATAGAGGTGGAAAAACTTCTGCCTGGAAGATCCAGCAATTCCAAGTGTCTACTGGCTTGTATCACTTCATTATAAATGAGGAGAGGTGTACCTTGATCTTAAGCATATTAAATAAACATATCACCAGAAAAAAAACCTCTAACATCTTCCTTTTCTTGTTTTGCTTTCTGTTTTTGTGGTCTTGGAGCTGTATTCAGTGCTGTAATTTATTTATAATTATGTCACAGTGAGTTGAGGTCGAGGTGATTATTTCTGCTGGGTGGCAGAATTGACTGCTACTGCAGTTCTGTAAGGTGTTGGGTCTTTTGGCTCTTTCCTGAGAACTTGGTTAGGATCACCCTCCCCTTTTGCCCACCAAGGTTCTTGAGGCTAATGCTTTCAACTCGGTGCTTGAAGTCATCAGTTGCAGAACATGCTCTAATTAATCTTTTCAAAATCTGGTCTTTTGTAAATATTATGAGTAGGGATTTAATCTTGTATTTGCTGACAAAATAGATATTTAAAACAATGGCTTTGTGAGTTGCAGACTGTGTGCCTGTGTCAGAGCTGAATGAGATTTTTTTTAAAAACCAAATACTGAAATTGCTTTGTACTGATAGCAGAATACTTGAAAAAATGGACAGAACAGATGCTTGTTGTGAATTGAATGCTGCACAGCTGCAGGGCAGACATGTTTCTAAGTCATTATAAACAGCCACATTTTTACAAGGTATGATTAAAATAACAAAGTCTTGGGTGAATAGGAAAGCTAGCTATGAGTTTGCTTTCCAGTGGGAGAAATTATTTAATGTTTGCGAGATGACCCTTTGCCTAGGCAGAAGGGTGCTTTTTGACAGAGACGCATGCATATCTTGCTTGACATATTTGATCTGATGACTCCATTTTTCACTTTAGACATGTGAAATCACATCTGTGAATAATTAGTCTTTGTAGAATTGTGTCAAACAAGCTATCTTTCTTTCATAGTATTTGTAGGTATATTTTTACTTTTTTTTTTCTTTTATTTTCATGCCTACCGTGTAAAATCCTTTCAGAAAGCAACAATAAACTGTAAGTAAATTATGTGTAAATTTTCCAACAATTGTTTTGTTGCCCAATTTTATGGTCCCAAGTGAGTTGCCGCAACCAAAGTAATGAAAGATTACAAGTGTGAAGAATAAACTCCCCATTGCAGCAACAGATAATCAACTGTCTTAATTCAGTGGTCAGACTGATAGTCTGAAGGATAGTATCACTAAACTTTTAATTATTTAAATCAATTCCTGTCACTTTTTCAAGGATTAAACTGAAATACTTCTGGGGAGGAAATGTAAATTTTCAGAAGAAAGGATAGGTGAATATAATAAATATTAATAGTAGTGTTGGATTTAATGATCCTTTTTACCACTAGAAAATGTAGTTTATAAGCATTTTCTTGGAGACTTGAAGAAGGGATTATCTTAATATTTTACTGGGAAATGCATAAGGGAAACAATCAGTACTGTGTGTGACAGAATTCACGCCTTATAATAATTAAAATAACCTGTGATTTTAGAATGTTAACAATGGCAAATCCAACAATGGATAACTAAGGTAACATGGGATGTAGGTTATTTTATTTTGCTGAAGCAAGGATCTACAGGGGCTTGCTGGAGAATTTGAACTGCGGCTTAGTTCTCCCACTAATGCATAGCCTGGAAGTAGTGAACAAAAATTAAAAAAAAGAAAACTATTTATAATGCTGTGCTTGTCTAGAATAAAAGCAAACTGTATATATGAAGAAGCTATAATGGTTTGCTGCTGCTGCATGTTTACTTCTCTTGCAAGCTGAAATAATAATTTACTTTATATACAAAGTTGTGTCTGCCAGCAATATAGATTCTGCCAGGATACTGAAAATGCAAATCATTCAATACATCACCCGGTGTTTTAAGTATGGGCTTAAATTGCCACAGACCAAGGTTAAACATTAGGAAACTTTCTAGTAGAGAGGGTAATGAAGCACTGGACTAAATTGCTTGGGGAAATCATCCATCCCTGGAACCTTTGGAACAAAGTCTGCAAATACTGTCAGGAGGGGTATGGTTTATGACCCCGCCCCACGACTTTGTGTAACTGTAGGATTTCTTGAAGTCAGTTCCTGTTTCTCTGTCAATTTTTTCTTTCTGGGAGAAGCTCAGAACACAAGAGATACTCTTAGATATTTGGTCTTAAGGCTGAAAAAAAAATCTGCTTTAACTGAAATAGTGTTGAAAGTCAGAATCTTCTTGTCATTAATAGCATACTAGATTACTTCCAGTAAGAAATGAAAATCAACTGTGCTGTTGAAGTTTTTTTTCAGGTTTTTTTGCTGTGCTTTTTGACTTTCAGACAGTTCAGTGAAATACTGTTTATTTAAAATTTAGATGTTGCAGTTAAAACCAAAAGAAAAAGGTGTCTAAACATTTTTTTTATTACTTGTAATTATTAAGATCTGTTGTTTTGGTTTTTTTAATCCCAATTCTATTTAAATTGGTATTTCAATTCAATATTGTTATTTTTTTGGAGGGGGGGAGAAATTAGAAAGCAGATCCTGAAAAGATGTTTTGATTGGTATGTTTGAAGTCTGTATCATCCAACACTTTGTCTTTGATAATGTGTGGACTTTTGAAACTTGTAATGAAAATGTTCCGCTTGAAGGCTTTAAGTTTTGTCTTTCAAATACCTTATATAAAGTAATTCCTCAATTACTCTTCTGAACAAATAATTGTAATCTTAGTTTATTTTACCTAGTTGTATAGGAAATATGGCAAACCTACAGTAGTTTTTATTTTGGTATTGGAGAGCTACATTTATTTCCTGGCTTTGTTGTGCTAATTAAAGAAGGTGTTTTTCATCTGTTTCATCAGAAACTCATAGTCCATCCTCAGCCTCTCTGGGTGACTGCAGAAGACATAGAATTGTGGCATCACAGCAGATTGGAAGTTGAGCAAGTTGAGGGTAAAAACTTTTAATATGATTATTCTCAGCTTAAGAACAGATTAAATAAAATGTTCTATTTTTGTGTTCTACTTTAGAAAGCTAAAGCAATAAGGTTCCAGAAATGTGCAAACATTAAATTATATGCATTATTCTGGTATATAGAGGAAGACAGTTTCAGTGATGGTAAAAGGAGAGAAAAATATAAACACAGAAGCTCTTTACAGTCCACTAAAAGGCCAAAAAGAACTCCATTAAAATGATTCTTGCAGATTGTTTTTAAATCAAAGTAGATAAAAATAAATGAGACTGAAAGCTTACATGCAAGTTATTAATGTTGTGTACAGGCATTTTTGGGATCCTTAGATAAATTGAGACCTATATAATGGAATACTGAAGTAGTGAGTGTGAAGGTGTTGACACCTCTACACTTAGCTGCTTCTGTATGAAAGGTAGTATGTATCTGTATAACCTGAATTTATATGGCATTTTTCTAAGACTTCTAATACAGCTTTGGAAAAGGTGTTTCTTTCAGGGGAGAGGGGAGAGATGGGAAGAAAAGTAATTCTTAATAAACAGCATTCTTGATAATGTTTTTATTTTAATTCCTTTAGACTATGTCTGAATGTATCCAGCTCTCATTTGCTGTTTGTAGAATTGGCATTTACACGGTAAGGCAATGTTCTAACTAAGTATTTTTGTTAGTGTTAATGCCATTTGAGTGAAAAGAAGTTACTTAAGTTTTTAAGGATTGGATTTAAGCTTTGCAGATAGCAAAAGGGATTTGTCATGCTAGTTTGCTTAAACAGACTACAGTGGATTTTTGTCCTTTCAAAGATTTACTAATACCAGAAGAAAAAAAGTATCCTCCACTTCAGTTAAAAAAAGGTAAAGAAAAATTCAGCCAGCCTTTTGAGGTGTAAGAAAATTTAGAATTCATGGGCATCAGTTGCTGAAAATTCTTGCGTAATGTAATTGCTGGAGCGTTTATGTACATTTGCCATTAAATGCCTGTGATGTGTGAGTAATGTCACATATTAAAACATGTTAGCTGAATGCACATATTGTAAGTTTTTTCTGGAGAGCTTTAAAATTTAGGAAATGCTTTTAAGTTAAACTTAGCAAAACTTATATAAAAGAAATAAGAAGTTTACTTCAATTATGTATTCCAAATATGCTAGCTTTTTTTTTTTCTGCTCCTGGTTCTTCCAGTTAATGTTGAGAACACTTAGATGAATGGGGTTTTGTAGAAATTAACTTTAATTAATACATTACAATAATGTAGTGTATACAGAGCTTACACAATGTATATGACTAGATTTCTCAAATCATGCTTCATATCCTGGAGCTTTTGGAGTGGGAATGCTGCTCCTTCTGTTAGCACTTCTCAGGAGGAAGCCTGGAACATACTTTTGACTGTATGAAGTGGTATTGGGTGAGTTTTGACTAATAGTGAGGAGGGCTATGTGCCATCACTAAATCTTACTTGAGGATAGAATCTCAAAGTTTAACATTTGCTTTTGTTCACAGAATTTGGTTTGAGGTAGTGTTAAATATCTGCATGAAGTTTTTTTCCCATAACATTTGCCTGCTTTCTGTTTTCAACATCTAAAAGCCTTTTAAATGGTAGAAAAGATGAGTCAAAGGCATATTTCCTTATGGTATTTAAATTTTTTTGGGAGGACTTTGTCTAAAAATTATTGTGTGATAAGAATATACTGTCTTAAGAATCAGAGAGGGTTTCAGTCTGAGGTTTCAATGGCTACAATATACTCAAATGGTCTGCTAGTTCTTAAGAAGGCTAGAGTAAGCTGCTCAAATTATTTTGAGAGAATGTCCGAGTATAAATATGTGTGAATTATGGACATAATGAGAAGGTAAAATGTAGTACATCCTCTGATAGTAGTCAGTTCTGTTTTAGTTTAAAATAGGTCAAGTGTTGTCTATATACTCAAGTCCTCTGCTGAGTTGTGGTAGTTGAAGTTATAGTGATAGTTAAATAAATGGTATCTCACTCTGACCAGCAAAATACTTAATTTTATCAAATGTTTTAAATTGAAAAATAAAACCAGCTTGCTGAATTTATTAAAATGCTGAAAGAAATTGATTTCATTGACTGCTGGTACTTAAGGAGGGATAGTGAGGCTTGAGAGCATCTGGAGATGCAGCGTTATGGCCACAGTGTACCAGGCAGGGCATGCCATGTAAAGTGCATTTGAAGGCTAAAGTAGTTCGTTTAGGAAAATGCTAGCTGCAGAGATTACTTGCTTACATGAAATGCCTCTCATTGGATGACTGGAGGGTAGGCTTGTACAGTTTTGGTGTCATAGCAAACAGAGAGGCCTGCTGAAGTGAGACCTGTGCAGAAGGACAGTGTGATAGTTTCTGCCTCTGCACCATACCCTGCTTGTGCTTGTAACTGTCACCAGATTTGTTACTCAGGTGTGTCCAAAGTCTGGCAGCTGTTAGGTACTGAGTGCTCCATACTGATGTCAAGAAGCAAACCCCCACAAAACTCCAGTTCATATTTCCCTTCTAATTAATTCCTTGGGTGTTGTGCTTTCTGCTGCGTAGTATTTTGCAGATTCAGTTGATTTTCCATTTGTTAGCTAATTGATTTTTATCCAAAATCTAAGCAGTCTCTCAGATGCCAGTCCTTAGCAGCACCATGTGTTCAGCTTGTACTGAGCTACTAGGACGCTTCCTGTTCTGCATGTCCTCATGGTACAGTGCTGCAAGTAAGGCTCTTAGTCCTTTGGACTACAGACATCTCAACTGTTAGCCTGTTATCAAGCTGCTTATCAGTAACACTCTAAAGCACCCATTATATCAACTGCACTACACCATTAAATTGGCTTCCTGTTTTTATGGAATGTACAGGTTATGAGATGGGGGAAGAGTTTATGTGGTGATCTATGGCAAAACAGCCAGTGCTTCCTGTCATGAGGAGAAAACCTACATCTTTGCAAGAATACAGGAGGAGATTTAATGCCTATTTCAGGTGAATTAACTAGATGAAGTATATACCCTTGAAGGGAGGAAGAGCAAAACAGAGGTGGTTAATATGAAAACTATATAGATTTTTGTAGGAGTCTGAAACTGATAGAGGTTTCTGTCTAAAAGGAAAACATTATCATAAACTCAAATGAAAACTTTTGTGATTAAGAAATCAACCAGCCATTGAAAATAAAACTCAACTTGTTTCACGTAGCTTCTCTCAGAAGTTTTTCAGATGCAGGTTTCTGCCTCTTCCATCATACTAGCATCTGCATCAGATGTGTCAATTGGATGTGTGGGAGCAGGCAGATAAATTTTTAAATCTGCATGACTGTGGAGACTGTAAGCATTTGACAGCTTGTAGCAAAGGCTATAATTTATTTTCTTTCTGTTTCTGATTTAATTTTCTTAATTAGGTAAAGATCCTATTAAAATAATGATAGAGAATTCTACCTATGTGAACCTCAGAGGGAAAATAGTCCACTTTTTTTGTCTTGTAAAACAGTTTTTATGATAGAACACTTGCCACCTTTATGCATATTGAAACACTTGCCACCTTTATACTTCATCTTGGAAACAGTGTGTGTGACTGTGTGCATATACTCTGGGAGGTTCTCTGATACTCTGTCCTAGCCCTTGCGACTTTTTTCTTTTCATCCATTTGCATATAATTTTAAGGTTTTTTTCAACAGGGGTAATAAGGCATTCTTTCTGTCCCTAACCTTTAAATGTGACTGCAGGAACATGCAAATTGTAATTTTCACATAACTTGTTGTTTTAGATAGAAAAACAAGGATAAAACCCTCTACAGGGGTCAGAGCCATGCAAAAATACCTGAGGAGGCCAAGTGGAAGCATGGTCTTTTACTGGTGTATATTAGAAGGTAAAATACTGAAAAATGCATTTTCCTGTTTCAGGAAATTCAAAAGTAAGTTTTTCTTGATTTCAAAATATGGCATCAGTAGATAAATAATTTTGTTTCAAAGCAACACAGGGATAATAAAAAGTTCCCTGTAGCTCTTTCTGCTTTCAAATGCTGGATATGGCAAAAGCAATGCACTGTGGCAACATTGCATCAATGCTGGCATCTTCTTCCTGAAAATCATGAGTAACTGATATTTTAGTTTTAGTAACCTCTTAGCTTGAATTTGAATGCAATGAGAAGTGGAAATAAATTATGCATTTTTACAGCTTTGCTTGCTATAGTTTGTTTATGGTTGGTACAGTAAACCATACAAATGTGCTTTTGGTTTTCTGGTTTACTTTGGACTTACTTACATTTGTCTTTGTTTATAGTGATAAATTCTTGTCTTGAAATGGTTTGGCTGGAATCAGCTGTTGTGCTAAGGAATTTGTCTGATGTTAGAAAAAACAGAAATAACATTTACTCATGAAGTGGTGGAGAGGAAGCTCTTTAAAGAAGAGAAATCAACTAAATGCCAGCAACTAAAGGCAGCCATGAAATAGGAGGCAATCATGGGAACATGCCTGGGAGATTCCTGGAGTCAGCCTGTGACTTAGAGTGTGGAAAGCTTCCTATGAGACTCTTCCCCTCCCTAACATGGTTTTCCATTGGAAAACAGTAAGTTAAAGTAATAACCGTGTTCATATAGCATATCCTGCCTACTCCTCCCTTTCCCATGTCATGTCCTTGACATGAGCAACATAACAAAAACACAAAAGTGCAGCAGGAAAAAGTCCTTTTATGTTCTGCCCTTGGGGAAACGTGGATAATTCCATTCACGGTCACTGCTGATAGTCTGTGGATAGCCTGTTGGAAAGGAAAGGTCTAAATGTTTTTAACTTCCAGCCTTAAATGAAAGGTCCTTGCTATCAGCCGAGTTTTGGCAGTGATTTGCATTGGGTGGGACTGTGCCTGCTGTGTTGTTGCAAACCTGTAGTCAAGCTGCTTGAACCATGCTAGTTGTGATTTGTGTTGCTACCAACCTAAACAGGAGAAAGAGGGGCAGAGAGTCCTGATGCATGTGTCACTCTGTGCGTGTGAATGTTAGATACATTGTGGATTTTGTACTATAGTACTATAAGCTGAGACTTTCTTTTCTACTTTTCCTGAAATAAAGGAACAGGTACAGCATTTTTTCAAATGAGGAAAGTAAAAACAGGTGAAGGGGGGGAGAGCATCAAGACTGGGCCAGGAGAGTGGATCGGAGTCCAATTCTCTTCCCTGTCTTTCCACAAATTCCTTGGTTAAAGTGAACTGTGCTGACATTGCTGAGAGTCTCTTCTTGTGGCCAGAGCTCATGTTACCTGCTCAAAGAGCTCAGCAGCTTGGTGCAGCCAATGCTGCTGTGACAGCATTGCTTTCCTGGGCTACTCATTGGCATACACTGGGTTTCCAGCTCTTTGAGAACCTCTGACAATTAGTTATTGCTTTCACTGAAAAGGTGAAATGGTTTGCCAAATCAGCCAGTTGATTTTTGTTAGAATCTCTACTGGACAATTTGCAAGTTGGAATAGAGCTTTGTCCTGCGCTAGGGACTTGAATACAGGTTTTGTTCCATCTGATTTGTCACTGCTGTCCATGGCTCCTTCCTGCTCTAGAGAACAGCAGTGTTGTTCCACAGGCTGTTAGCTTTAGGGGAGGACAAGAGGAAAAGCCCAGATCATCATTACAAAAGTCTCTAATGTTTTCTGTTCAGACAGGATGCTGTTT